TCTTTACTTACTGCTTTACTTTACTGCGTGCATATCATCTTTTTCATCACTCCTCTTAACATTTTATCAAACTCGTGCAACCCTCACTTTATTTTCCTTCCGCTGTGCTTATCTTACACAAAAGTGTTGTCAAGTTTTTCTTTCAAAAGAAAAACGAGAGTCTATTCACCCCCCCCCCCTCTAGACTCACCACACAATCTATCGGGACCAACAAAACACATTTCACAAAACGCGATATAAGGGTATATATTTGAGTGGGTTCAGAGGCAAAACGCGGATGGAGTGTGGCCCACCACTACTGGGCACGACTTTAAGAATCTCAATATATACAAAACATGATTGTGTGGGTTCCCTGGCAAAACATCATTTGAGCTAGTGGGGCCGACCGTTACAAAGCTCAATTTAATAAATGTCAATACAAAACACGATTTGAGTGGGTCCCCTGAAAAAATGTCATTCTAGTGGGACCCACCACTACAATTCATGATTTTAAGGATCTCAATACAAAACACGATTCGAGTGGGTTCTTGTCAAAACGCTGTTGGAGTGGGGCCCACCACTACAAAGCATAATTTTAAGAATCTCAATACAAAGCACTGTTTGAGTGGATCTCTGGGCAAACCACCGGTTAAGTGGGGCCTACAACTTCAAAACACGATTTGAAGGACCCCATTACAAGTCACAATTTTAAGAATCTTAATACAAAATATGATCTGAGTGAGTCCGCTGGCAAAATTCCGTTTGAGTAGGGCTCACCACTGCAAAGCATGATTTTAAGAAACTCAATACAAAACAGGATTTAATCGGATCTCTTAGCAAAACATAGGTTGAGTGGGGCCCACAGCCAACAAAACATGGTTTGAAAAACCCACTACAAGTCACAACTTCAAGAATCCCAACAAAAAATACGATTTGAGTGGTTCCTTCGCAAATCGTTGTTTCAGTATGGCTCACCTCTACAACGCATGATTTTAAGAATCTCAATACAAAACACGATTTTAGTGGATATCCTGGCAAAATACAGGTTGAGTGAGGCACATAACTATAAAACATGGTTTCAAGAACCCATCCACTACAAGTCACGATTTTAATAACCCAATACAAAATACAATAATTTGAGTGGGTCCCTAATAGAATGTGGTCTGAGACTCTGAGTGGTCTCACTAATTAAGTGCTAAACATGTCACATGTCATTGTTCAAGTGGACCCACTTTCCACTAACGTGCTACAAATTCTTAAAGACACAATTTATGTGGTACCAAAATTACAAAATACGATTTTAGGGAATACTGTGTTATAATCAAATGTTTATGAATGTATATATAAATGGAAGATCGAAAAAATTCATTACATGAAATTAAATTGGCATTTAACTTTCATGATAGATAAAAATTATATTTATGTCCTTGAATGAAAATGTTAAAAAAATAAAATCATTAGATGTAGTTAAATAATTAATGTTATTCGAATCCATAAAATGGAAATAAATTAAACAATAATTATAAGTGAAATGACTTTGTACACTATATTATATCGCTTATGCATTCAAATGATCTTTTTAACTGGGATTTCTAATTAATTAGGGGAAGAAGTAATTAGATCACCATATTAATAGAATAATTAATTAAGAAATGACATAATTGTTAGGATTTTAAAATTTTAAAATATTAGTATTTTTGCCCGTGTGGTGCACGGAATGAATTTGTTGTAATATATTAAGAATATTTGGATTGATATATAATTATTTAAATTAGAACATCAAATACATTATATAGTGCAATTGAATATATGAATGAATCCAATTTTATGTATTTGGTTCAATTTATACCTTTATCATTTGATGGTTTGAATTGGTTCAATTTATAATTCTATAACCTTATAAGTTATCAACAATGGTTAATTCGAAAGCAACTTTAGGAAATTGAAGTTTGGAGTGAATAATCACAAAGAAAATTTGAAAGGACATTAATCTTGAGTAGGAAGGCTCTTACATATACTAATCTCTTTCATGCCCAAACATCGCACGCCTGCACTAAGTTTCTTCAACATATAATATGATCCAAACAACGGTCTTAATTGTTTCATTGCAAATGGTATAGCCACCTGTGTAACATGAAAAGCAATATAATTACATTTAATAATTAAAAAAAAAAAGCATAAAGCAAATAAAAGAGAAACCTTTGTCAATTGTATGCCTCACAAGCAAAAAAAAAAAAAAAAAAACAAAAACAAAAACTAATACGGTTCAAGATTTATAGCCATAAGCTTTGATCTCTCTGCATAATTCATGTGGGAGAAGGAGATATACATATTATTAAGATGATGAAAAAGGATGTAAATGGAGCCCTATTTTATTATGGGTGGTTTAGTGGTCCCACCACTATAGACCATGGCTTTAATACATGGTGGGTAGAACATGTTTTTACGGGTGGGCAGAACACAGTTTTAGTGGTCCCACCAGGACAAGGCTTGATTCGGTCCCACGAAAAACACGATTTAACATAAGTACAAAAAGTGCAAAGAAATGTGACTTTAGATTGCCCTTATTTAAAGAAAGGTAGTGTATTGTTAAAAAATTGTGTGGTGACATTGTTGTAAATAAATGAACAAAAAACCGCAATCAATTTTTTTTTCCTAAAATAATGGGATGCGGTTTCTTAAATAAATAAATAAAATAAAACAGAATTTAAAAAATTAAAATTGAACTCGGAGAAAGTGTCATGGAGAGTAAATATAAAAATAAAAATAAAAATAAAAACTTTCTAAAACTCTTCTTTAAAGAACGAAGGGTCGCGGAAGGTTGTCTAAGTTTTTTTACATTGAAAAAATAAATCTTCGTTTCTCTTGCAACCCATCATTTCATCACCAACTTTTTATCTCTCGAAGAAATCCACCAATTCATCTCTGGTATTCCTCTCACTCCATGCTATGCTCTTAATTTCTATCTCTCAGTCACTCTTTTTTCGGAAGGTCGACGTTCGGAGCTTTTGAAAAAAAAGAAAAACACATTTCACAAAACGTGATATAAGGGTATATATTTTAGTGGGTTCAGAGACAAAATGCGGATGGAGTGGGGCCCACCACTACTGGGCACAACTTTAAGAATCTCAATATATACAAAACATGATTGTGTGGATCCCCTGGCAAAACATCATTTGAGCTAGTGGGACTGACCGCTACAAAGCTCGATTTAAAAAATGTCAATACAAAACACGACTTAAGTGGGTCCCCTAAAAAAAGCCATTCTAGTGGGACCCACCACTACAAAGCATGATTTTAAGGATTTCAATATAAAACACGATTTGAGTGAGTTCTTTGCAAAACTCCGTTGGAGTAGGGCCCACCACTACAAAGCATAATTTTAAGAATCTCAATACAAAACACTATTTGAGTGGATCTCTGGGCAAACCACCGGTTAAGTGGGGCCTACAACTTCAAAACACTGTTTGAAGGACCCCACTACAAGTCACGATTTTAAGAATCTTAATACAAAACATGATTTGAGTGAGTCCCCTGGCAAAATTCTGTTTAGATTTACTTTAATTAGTTTTAATTTTCTTAATGAAATGACTTTTCTTTATCAATTTTTTATGGGAGGCTAAAGGAGTGTTTGGATTGCTGGAAAATATTTTAAAATAAAAATAAATACTAATAAAAAATAATTTTAAAATATTTTTTAACCCCTCATAACATGTGTAAATGTTTTATATATATATATATATATATATATATATATATATATATATATATATATATATATATATATATATATATATATATATATATATATATATTAAATACAATTTGATAAATATCATAATTTCTGTTTATAATAGTTAAAAAAAAAATAATTCAAAGATGTGAACCAATGATTTCAAAATAAAATTAATATACAGTTACAAATAAATATAGCATGATTAGATTTACTTTAATTAGTTTTAATTTTTTTTATTGAAATGACTTTTATTTTTCAGTTTTTTATTAGAGACTAATGGAGTGTTTGGGTTGCTGGAAAATATTTTAAAAATAAAAATACTTACTAATAAAAAATAATTTTAAAATATTTTTTAATCCCTAAACATGAGAGAATTTTATATTTTAAAAAAAATTACAATTTGATAAATATCATAAATTTTTTTGAAGGTCAATCTTGCGATTGTATTAATGAATCAAAGCCGAAATAGCGTCAGGTGGGATAGCATCCCAGTACATAACTTGATCATGTGTAAATGCTAACGAAGCTAAAGTATGCGCATGTAAATTAACCTGTCTAGAGATGTAATCCAAAGTAATACGATTAAATAAAGACATAAGCGTTCTGCATTGGTCAATTGTGACCCCAACGTACGAATGGATCGGCGTGTGATAGTGCCGGATAATTGTAGTCAACTCCATGCAATCCATGAGTAAACTTACTGATGTGTTGTTCCGTTCAAGCAACTAGGACAGTGCTTCCTTGTATGCCTGGGCCTCCGCCATAAGTGGTGAGAAACAAATCGGTAATTTGCCATTCCTTGTTGCCACAAAAGAGCCATCTGGCGCTATTATTAACATGTCGTACGTAGCCTCGCCTGTGTCGTGTCGGAAACCCGCGTCCACATAACACCGTAGACCGCCCTCCCCTGGTTCGGTTAATGGCTCCGATGCCGCTGCCGGCTCGGTACGGGGGGCCTGGGCAGCGCCGTACGCCTGAAGTGTTACGGTTGCTGCTCTGGCTAATTGGGCAGGCCGCGTCATTGATCCCTTCCAGACAGCTGAATTCTGGGCTCTCCAAATATAATATAATATTGCTACCATCAACCGGGTCTGCTCCTCCGTCAAGATCGCCATAGCCCCTTTTAGCCATGTTGTAAAAGACTTTGCAACAATATTAGTGATAGGCAATTGTGTTATATTCCAAACAAGTCTAGAATATTCACAGAGCACTAAAGCATGTAACACATCTTCATGATCTAAACCACACATTGGGCATATTGGGTCCACCTCCACCCTTTTAAATATCAAGTTAATGGTTGTTGGCAAGGCTCTCCACAAGAAAGTTTTCCATTTGGGGGGACTTTTACTTTCCACATTGTAACCCATTTATCAAAAAACGCGGGATTATTTTCATAGTCACCCACAATATGCCTATAGGCATTCTTCACTGTATATGTCCCCTTTGGGTCACTCATCCAATACCATAGTCCTCGGTAATCAGGACTAATAGGGATCATATTTATTCGCTCCACATCCTCAGGAATAAACAAGTCAGATAAAATATATGGATCCCAGGTATGAGTCTGTAAATCAATTAATCCTGCAACCCGTGTCTCTCTCAATTGCTCTGGCATTTCTGTTTGAATCAATGGGCTAGGATTATCTCGTAACCACGGATGCCCCCATATTAAAGTTGTCTGTCCATTCCCAATTCTCCTTCGCACTCCTGAGATCACCATTGCATGGGCTGCCATTATACTTCTCCAACAGTAACTTGGGCAATTACCAATAGTTGCATCAGTAAAACTGGTTGTAGGATAATACCTTATCAAATTACCGGGATTCTGAAGAAGAACAACGCAGGAGGACCTCCTCCCTTGCAGTGGCCCGAGCAAATCTGAGAGCTATGGCGTCAAGAGCCATTAACATTCGAACTAGAAGTCGGGGAACATACTGAACTGGTTGGCAGCCTTATAGATTTTTGCTGCGAGTGTTCCTGGGTCTGTTAGAAAACGCCATGCCTGTTTTCCCAGCATAGCTAGATTAAAAGCCCTTAGCTCTTTAAAACCCATACCACCATACTTTTTCGGTATGCACAACCTGTCCCAAGCCTTTCAATGTATTCCCCTTTCTCTTCCATTCCCCCACCAATACTTATTCATAGTTCGCTCAATTAACTGACAAACTGTCTCAGGTAACAAAAAAACACTCATTGAAAAGGTAGACATAGATTGCGCTACACTTTTCAACAATACTTCCTTACCAGCCTGAGAAAGTAACTTTTTACTCCACGAACCAATTCGTTGCCTGATCTTCTCCTCCACATATTAAAAAAACAACTCTCTTATTTCTCCCCACAAAGGAAGGTAGGCCCAAATATTTCCCAAAATTGGGTGCTTGCACCACCCCCAGAGAATCCGCTACCTGTGCCCTGTCATCCTCCTGGGTATTTCTGCTAAAACATATATTAGATTTATTATAGTTCACCATCTGTCCTGACAATTTCTCATACCTTGCAAGGCACTGCCTTATAACTCCCGCCTCCTGGACATTTGCTTTAAAAAATAGGAGACTATCATCCGCAAAAAATAGATGTGATACAGGCGGTGCTCCCCTTGCAACTCTGCATCCATGTATAGAGCCTGTCAACTGTTCATACTGTAATATCATCGAGAGAGCCTCTGCACAAATAATAAATAGATACGGAGAGAGAGGGTCTCCTTGCCTGAGACCCCTGGTTGGTTTTACGCACCCCTGCTATACTGTTGACCATTATAGTATAATTAACAGTCGTTACACACAGCATAATGAGTTTATCCACTTCTCACTAAAACCCATAACAGTCAGCATCCTTTCTAGAAAGATCCACTCCATTCTGTCATAGGCTTTTGACATATCTGGCTTCAATGCACTCCAACCCACTACACCACATTGCTTCCTATTCAGATAATGCCCCACCTCTGCCGCCACCAAGATGTTGTCAGTGATTAGCCTTCCCGGGATAAAAGCACTCTGGGATTCTGATATTAATCCTCCCATAAGTGTTTTCATCCTATTTGCTATCATCTTGGCCATAACTCTGTAAATGACATTACTCAATGCAATCGGCCTTAAATCTGCAACTGTCTCAAGCATCTCTTTCTTAGGGATCAAAACAATGTTAGTATCATTCAATCCCTCGGGGAATACACAGGAATTCAAAGCATTCGTTATAAAGCCAGATACTTCTCCTCCCACTATCTCCCAAAACTGCGGGTAGAAACCCGGGTTTAACCCATCCGGGCCCGGTGCCTTATCCGGATACATTGAAAAAAGAGCCTCTTTAACCTCATCAATTTCAAAAGGGCGGTCTAGCATCATATTTTGTTCTAAGGTGACTCGTGGGGTTAGGACCCCAAATATTGGATCATCACAGCTCAATCCATTAGAGGCAAAAATATTCTCAAAGTAATTTAGTATAGTGGAATGCATATCATCCCCCTCCACCCAGTTACCAGCATCACATTTAGTACTAGAAATAAAATTCTTTTTCCTACGAGCAGAGGCATACCTGTGATTGAATTTTGTGTTTGCGTCTGCCCCACGTAGCCAGTGTTGCTTGGCTCGCTGTCTCCAGAACACATCCTCCTGGGTCTCAATTCGTTTCAGGGAATTCTCAATCTGTTGGTACTCAACTAGTGCCACAAAATCTCGCCTATTCCGTATGGCATCTTGCCTCTGTTGTAGCTGCTTAATTCGTTTTCCGAATTTATGAAACTGGTCTCCCCCCACCGCATTAACTTCTCCCCACACAACTGCTGACAATGCAGCAATCCCTCTGTTCTCCCCTCCTGCCAGGCCGTTTCTACTACTTCTTTGCACCCTTCATCTAACAGCCAAGCCATCTCAAACCTGAATCTCCGCGCCCCCCTTCCCCTTGGCATGCATATCGCATTAATACTGAGGAAAAGAATCAAGTGATCCGGGCCCGGGTCTGAATGTTCTCCAACCATGCATTCTCATTCATCAGACCCCAATCATTCGTTATTAGAGCCTTGTCCAACCTTTCCTCTATCCAATTCGGCGTCCCCTTTCCCTTTTGCCACGTAAACTGGTGGCCTCTCATTGGCATTTGCAACAAACCACAGTCATCCACAGCATCTCCGAAACCCCGTAACAGGCTATTAGGATACGGATTTCTCCCCTTCTTCTCATGGTGATATAGGAGATTATTAAAGTCCCCTATCACCACCCAGGGCAACAAGGATCTATTCTTCAGAGTGCCAAGTAAATCCCATGTCTCCTCCCGCCTATTTCGTTCGGGGATCCCATAGATACATGTCATGCGCCATAACTTATTAAACAAGCTTACTTCCACATCAATATGACTCTGCGAGTAGCTTAATAGTCTTACCGTATTATTCTTTTTCCATAAAAGCGCCATTCCTCTACTCAATCCATCGTTATCAACATAAAACAAACCCTCATACCCAAGCGTAACACGGATCCGTTCTGCATGTACCCGTGGCACTTTGGTCTCCATTAAAAACACAAAATCAGGTTTCTTACTGGACGCTAGGCTCACAATCTGTCGAACTGTGCGTGGATTGCCCAAGCCACGATAGTTCCAGCTCAAAGTACTCATGATGATTAGTGCAATATCATTTATGTTTACAACAAGAATAATTAAATAAAAAATAAATAATTCAAATATGTGAACCAATGATTTCAAAATGAAATTAATATACAGTTTTAAATAAATATAGCATGATTAGATTTACTTTAATTAGTTTTAATTTCCTTAGTGAAATGACTTTAATAAAAGTAAAATCCTCCTTTACAATATTTCAGCCCAAATTAATATGAATATTAATTAATTAGTAAACAATTAATAAAGCTTAATTGGTAACAAAATTTTATATGAAAAGTAACTAATATCTAATGGATTGTTACCACATATTAAAGTCAATATGTACATAAAAATGGAAAATGGTTACCAAATTCTGAGAATAATTAAATTATTATAATTGTGAAAATAATGGATACAAATTCTGCGTAACAAATGAGAAAATTCGTTTGAAATTTTGCGTAATTTTATAAAGAAATAATAATTTATTAATTATTATTTACACCAATTTATACTTTTAATGTAAGTAAAATCCTCATCTTCAACATTCCCGCCAAATTAATATAAATATTAATTAATTTGTAAAAAAAAGTAATAAAGCTTTTTTTTTTTTTTTTGAATGCAGTAATAAAGCTTAATTGGTAACAAAATTTTATATGAAAATTATCTAATATCTAATAAATTTTTATCACAAATTAAATTTAATATGTACTTACAAATGGAAAATGGTTATTAAATTCTGAGAATAATTAAACCAATATAATTGTGAAAATAAAAGAAACAAATTATGCTTAATAAATGAGAAAATCCATTTGAAATTCTGTGTAACTTTATAAGGAAATAATAATTTATTAATTATTATTTACACAAATCTATATCTATACTATTAATAAAAGTAAAATCTTCAATGAAAATGTCTTTCACCCTTCTGATACGAGATCGCCCTTCATCAAGTTCTAACGAAAACAATTCACGTTGATGTTCGCATATGCCATGACTATCAATAAAAGTCAGGATAAAATTCATTTACTACTACCAATGTCGTCTACAAAGTGATTTTCAATATTGTATAATTCAAGCCATTGATATTATGTTTTTTTTTTTTATATATATATACAAAGATGACAAAATTGCTATATATCTTACATAGAAAATATATCTTCCGTATAAATAATTTTTATAAATGAGTTGCTAGACAACGAGCTAATTAGCCCAATTAATACAAATTCTAAACACTGATATATAAAATCTCTAAAGTTTCAACACCGAATGCATATATTTACACGTTAGCTATTACTTGGGCAATTATTTACTAATTCAAGCATTGATAACATCAGAAAACATAATCGGTGCAACTCAATTCTTCAATTATATTACATAATATTCGATGTTATAATTTATACAATTGTATATCGATCTAGATATTTTTAAAATATTATAACAAATTCATTCCGTGCAACGCACGTGCGCAAATACTAGTGTTAAAAAAATAAAATCATTAGATGTGGTTAAATAATTAATGTTGTTGGAATCCATTAAATGGAAATAAATTAAACAATAAGTGAAAATAAGTTAAACAATAAGTGAAACGATTTTGTACACTATATTATAACGCTTGTGCATTCAAATGATCGTTTTAACTGGGATTTCTAATTAATTAGGGGAAGAAGTAATTAGATCACCATATTAGTAGAAGAATTAATTAAAAAATGCTATAATTGTTAGGATTTTAACATTTTAAAATACTATATACTGGAATCTGGTAATTTTTTTAAATACAAGTGGCGTATCGAATATCGATAGTATTTTAAGATATTAAAATATTTCCTAATTAATTTTCTTTTGAATATAGTACTTTAATTTTTATTTTTTTGACATAAGGTTCATAACATCCAACTTATTTTTGACATGACAGAATAAATTACATACACTTAAAAAGAAAAAAGAAAAAGAATAACAAACCAACCATAGTTATCAACGGATTATTATTGTGTGAACCATGGTCTGAGCAACTATGTACCATATTATCAAATAATGTACATTCAAGTACACAAATAATGAACTTTTAGTATATTAAAAATGTACATTATTATATTCAGCAAAAGTACATTGTTTATGTATTGAAAATACATTATTTTGTATAATGTACACTCAGTACACAAATAATATATTTTTAGTATATATAAAAAAGTACTTTTTGTTATGGTCCACACAACACTGTATGGACCATGGTCTAAACAATAATTTGTGGTTATCAACTCTAGGTCAAGAACAAACAAATCGAATTAATAACAGAGGTGATGGCCAGTTGGTATATGGATCAGAGGACGAACATATTTCCACGACAAAGCCCGACACCCAGGATGGTAGATTACTTGTTGGCACTGTCATGATATCAAGCATGTATCTAAAAGCATGGAAGTTGTTTATTAGCAATTCCCAGCAATGATAGAAGGTCATGTTGAGCAGTTCTTCAATAATTTCCCTGGCTTGTTTCAGCTGTGAATCAATAATATTGATTGGTATCTCTGATCTGCCTCAATCAAAACATGAAGGATCATTTAGGTGCTCATAACCTGGCCGTCGCCTTAGGCTCTCCTCCTGGAATTGAAAGCCAAGTGGAAACTGACCTCGTCCAATTTTATGCAAAAATTAATTGAGTCTTTATATTATACATGTAAGACTTTCCCATACATTATATTATATTATATTATATTATATATATATATATATATATATATATATATATATATATATATATATATATATATATATATATATATATTATGAGTCTTACTTATATGGTGCAAGTGGACTAGGCCCATTAAGTAATTGGTTGGACTGGACATTTAAGTTTAAGTCTTATTCCACCAATGTGCCTATATAAAACTTGTATTGATGGGATACAAGATTATGGTTATTATATGGTACTCATACTGCTCAAAAAATACCAGTACACCATCTACGGTTCTGAGTCAAGTATGAGACAAAACGTCTAACCCTATTGATCTACTGTTCAAGAGGTAATACAAACAGGATATCAACCATGGCTGGAGATCTACCGTGATTCTGCTTCCGCTACTATGAGTTAAATTTCCCGTAGATTATTCTGTATATAGTTAGATCATATTTAGATCTCACATTTGGTATCAGAGCCTTTATCAATCTCTATCTGGTTGATTGTTTTACCTAAAAACAATATTAATTTTTTCATATACATCAAGATTTCGTATATGATTTTTTGGACTGCTAAAAATTATTATTATTTTTTTTTTAGCGTTAAACATGATTTTGGCTATTTTGAATTTTGAAAATTATTACTTGATTTTGGGAACCCACCGGCCACTGCCATCGGATTTTGGCCGGACAAATGCCGTACTCAAAAAAACAAACTACGAAGCCGTCCGGTGGCAGAGGAATTAGCTGGAAATCAGTCTTTAGATGCGGAATTGTCTCATTCGTTTTTCCGGCAACAGCCATTAATTCCTGGCTTTGGCGTTCTTCACTTCCGATTCATCGTCACTGTGGTTTCTAGTTTCATGGGTGACGACTCCGACGAGGGGTGTTGCGGCTTTGGTTCTCCGCCGTGAGCCTTGTCACTGGGAGGACACCGCCATGGGCGTAGCGGTCGGCTACTGTCGAGATCAGGCGGCGGTGGCATCGCGATCTGGAGATGACGGCGGGCGGTGTCTCGACAGCGAGGCGATGTGGCGACAAACGTTGCTGCTCTCCTTCTTTATACGGCCCTCCGGCAGACGCTGGTTATCGTTGATCTCTGTCTTCCTCCTCCAGTGGACGGCGTCAGCAAATCAGAGGGTCGGCGGTGGCACTGCGTTGGAAGAAGAGAGAGGAAGGAGTACTGTGGTACATTTCGTATTAAAAAGCTATTTACCTTTACCATATATTCTAGTTGCCTTATATAATATTTACATATTAATTTGGTGAATGGTAATTATTTAGTTTATTATTACCATATTTATATTACCTAATTTAATATTGTATATTATATTATTTTGACAAATGATAAATGTATGATAATTGCTTGATTTTTGGATGATGCCGTTTAATTTGGTCTTAATTTTGGCATTAATTCATAATCAAATTATTATTTAATTTTGGACAAATATTAAATTTTAAATTTTTAATTTGAATTTTAATTTAATATTAAAGTGCATATTAAATTGCCTGAAGTATTGTAATTTATTTAGGATTTATGGGTTAGTATATATTAATATGTAAAAATCCAAGCATGCTATGTATATTCATAAATTATTTTATTATAATTGTACATTCATAAAAGCATGCATTAAAGTTGGATTAATATACCAAGTGGCTTGTGGTCCACTGGTATTAGATTGCTCCCTTATGTGGGAGGTCTAGATTGTATGGGTGTCCCCTTCCCTTGTAATAAAAAAAAAAAGTTGGATTAATATATTATTTAACTCATAGTCTCTATATTAAATATTATTCAATTTTGGATCCTTAGGCTAATTTTGGATATTATAGCCTATTAAGATAGCTTGTTTGGTTTCCTATTTAATTTTGGGCATATTTTAGTCCTATATTTTACTTGGGACTTTAAACCCTATTTTGAACAAGTTATTTAGAACCTATATTAGGTCATTAAAGTTTGGATCCCACCATTATTGAGTGATATTTTAATGTTAATTATAACTATTTTAGTTTGACTTATAACATGTTTATTATGGTAATAATATTGATTATTATGCATAACATGTTTACTAAGTCTTAATTATTACCGACTACCATATTTTGTTAATGGTATTTATTGTTGGTAATAATATTATGGTTGGATA